ACCGCGTGAAACCGTCACTTAATCACTGCTGGTGGGAATGTAGGTGTCTGCCCGCTCTGGGGGGCAGTGGGCACTTCCGGATAGAACTCGTCGTCCAGTTCGCGACCTGTCACTGGCACTCCGGGGTGGCGGTCCTGGAGAAACGAAGACTTAGGTCCACACAAAAACCTGCGCACACACGTCTGGAGCAGCTGCACTTCTACCAGCCGGACACTGGAGTCAGCCAGGTGCCCTTCAGCAGGCGAGGCGCTGAGCTACTGAGCAGTAAGGCGGGCCGGCCTGGCCCTGCCCTGCCACTGAGACAGACCTCGATGTGACACTCGGGAGCAGCCAGGTAGTCCTGAGACCGGCAGCGCGTGGTCCTGTCCCTGTAACTCTTCTGAAACAAGGGGCGCAGTTCTGGGCATGGAGACTAGTGGACTGCGGGTGGGGTGCGGGGCAGTGGTGGCGGGGGAGGGAGGGCCTGCCGTTCTGACGGGGCACCTCGGAGGCTCTGTGGTGGACACGCAGAACGCACCTGGCAAAGCTGCGTAGCACTAAGTGCACACACAGCAAGTAAAAGGAACTGTGTTGGAAACCTGAGGTCAGTGGTGGGTAGCAGTGTCAGTGCTGTGGTTTCACAGTGTCGCTGCTGTGGGAACTGGGTGAAGTGCGCATCGGGTCTTGGCTGTCTCTTACAATTGCATGTGGGTCTGTAAGCACCTTGGTGAAAGCTTCAGTGGAGGAAGAGAGACCCCTCTGGTGGAGAGGCAGCACGAGCGAAGGCTGCGGTGGAGGCGGGGAGCAGCATCTGGTGCCACACCCCTTCAGGGGGAGAGCTGACCGCGTTTGCAGACAGTTTTTAAAAATTGAGATTCCCCATTCCAAAGTGCAGTTCGGCGGTTTGGGTGTGTCTCCAGGGCTCTGCAGCCGCCACCTCGCCCTGACTTCCGAGCACTCTGCCCGGAACAGGAAGCCCCTCCAGTGGTGGCCGCCACCCCCAGCTGCTCATCTGGTCTCTGGGTTTGCGTGTCTGAGCGTTCCTTGTGACCACAGTCACACAGCAAGGACCTTCTGGGTGGGCTTTGTCCACGTAGCATGTGGACCAGTTTTCAAGCAGCACCGTTCTGCTACTGACTGTTATTGACCTCAGTCAGTTCACCAGTAAGGAAGGGGTCATGTTAGTGGCCTGTCTTCGTGACGCAGTGTGTGAACCGGGGAGGTCTCACATCCTGATTCCCCTAATCAGTTGCTACTTTTATTTTTATTTTTATGTGAGACACAGGAGTGACGTCTGGTTCCCACGCCCTCCCAGGCCCTCAGAAGCGATGTGTTCCCAGAAAGACTCCTCACTTTCTGGGACCACGCTCCCGTTTTCCTAGCACTGGGCGAGTTGGAGAGCGGCCAATCAGGGTCAGGAGGCGGGATGCCTGCCTGCAGGCCGTGCAGCCTCCAGACCTCGGTCCTGCTGGCCGGGCAGGCAGTGGGCGCCACCGCGAGTGCTTGTGGGAGCACTCGTGTGTGCTGACCGCCAGGCACAAGTAGGGCGCACGACCTCAGTTCCTTAGTGGTACCAGGCCTCCCCCTTGCCCACCCTCATTTTTTCATGCATAACCGTCACATAATCTGAAAATGAGAATTTAGATGAGGGGCTTGAATTCCCCATTTGACATTAGCTCTTTGACAGTGGTTTCAGCGTGACTGTGGTGGGCTGCAGGGGCCTTGGTCTCTCTGTGCCCAACCCCCCAGACGTGTGTTCCTGTGTGGGCCGCGTCCTCACAGGGTTGGGGGGCTGGCCGAGTTCTGTCTCGCTTCGGAGGCAGAGTGAAAGTGGCCGCTTTCCCAGAACCCGTTGGAGGGTCAGGACCGCTTTGACCCTGTTGACCAGTTACTGCCCAGAGCCCGGTGCTTCCATTTCTCACCTTCATTTTCCTCCTTCATTTCCACATGGAACAGGTCAGTCCGGACATACCAGTTCATCAATCTGATTAAATTCATGGGGGCACAAAGTAGTTATCATTTTCTTGAACTCCCAAGTCCGCTTACAGCACAAACTAAGACAGGGAGGAGGTAGTTCGAGCAGGGGACGTAGAGTGTACGAGAACTGAGCTGGGAGGTGATGAGCAAAACAAACGAGTCCTTACCCCAGGCCAGAGCTCCCTGGGCTTCAGGAATTACTGACCCAGGACACAGGCCCGAGTGGCCTGGGGCCACGGTGGGCAGGCTGTGGGAATGGGGGTTGGAGGTCGGCACCCTAGTCTGCCGTGGCCGTGGCAGTTGCGGCTGGACAGATGTGCTGAAGCTGTGGCCCTTGCGGTGGGCCGGCGTGGGTCCGGGGGACGCGGCGTAGGCCTCAGGGGCCCGTGTGGTGCTCTTCGTTGCTGTCTGCGTTCTTTTGGTTTGTCACCTACGTGGAGAGAGGGACAAAGTTCTTTTTAACACTTAGGGTCTGTGACTTCTGAGGAGACACAGAGGTGGTCCGTGGGCCTGGCCAGTTCTCCGTCGGCACGCGGGCACAGGTGTGGAGCCGCAGACTTCTTTCTCTTGTTGGCGCCGTGCCGACCGCCGAGCGGCGCCCCGCAGCCCTGCGCCGTGACAGTTTGGCTGCCAGGGCAGGCGGGCACTGCGCTCCCTTCGTCAGCGCCGTCTCGTGGAGTCCGGGGAGCGCTTCACGCTCTGTAAACACCCACGGTGTTGTGTTGTGGTCGGGGCGGGGGAGGGGCACCGCCTGCCGTGGCCGCGGGCGACTCAGCCGGTCAGCGTGGCCTCTTCTACTGAGGGCACGTGAGGCCTCCCAGCCTCCTCCAGGCTGCGCTCTGGCTGCTGTGGCTGGCTGGTCAGGGCCGGCCCGGCCGGGCCAGAGTCTCGGCTCACCCCTCTTTGTGAGCCGAGCCCCTCCCAAGTCCAGCTGAGAGGGTCGGGCTCCGAGGCACAGACACTGCGGGACGAAGGTTCTGCTTGGATTCGGACTTTGCTGAAAGCCCAGGTCATGGATGTTTCTCTTCTGACCTCCACTTAGCCATGAGGCCCACTTAGTGTGGTGTCTGCCAACTTTCTGCTCATTACCAGCCCCAAGGCACCGTCTCAGGGCCGTTGTGCGGCACTGCCATGGTGGGCAGCCGCCACCCCACAGCCGGGAGCCCAGGTGCTGTGGGCTCAGTGCACGGAAGGCCGGGGGCAGGTTCTTACTCAGGGCGTCAAAGACGAGTGGGTAGATGGGTTAGTTTGCCTCCTGCAATGCCAGAGTCGGTCGGTGTCTGCTAGCTCTGCCGACGGCCATCACACGCGAGGCAACGCCAGCTGCTGTGGCAGAGACCGAGCCGGCAACGTGGAGGGGCGAGTGCTCTGATTATCATAGCGCCCTTTTCTTTCTTCCGAAGGCCATGGTGTAATGTACAGGTGGTAGAGCGTACCCCCTTGGTGACACTTCTGCGCGTGCCGACAGATGCGCTGCGTGACGGCCACCGCAGTTGAGACCCAGAGCTGCCCCGGGTCTGCAGTGTCATCTCCTCGAGTTCCCCTGCCTGTGCCCCTGCCTTTTTGCATCGCCTCGTCCCGGTCCCTGGAGACTGCTGATCACTTTGGTTCCTGTCGTTTTGTCTCATCCAGGACGTCATGTGAATGGACTCCTGCAATATGTAGCCTTGAACCTGGTACATGGAGATTCACCCTTGTGTGTTTCGACGGTTTGCCCTTTTCACCGCCAAGCGGTGTTCTGCGGTCTGGCGGGGCGGTGGGTCTGCCGCCTTCCCCGTGAGGCACGTCGGTCCTCCCAGTGAAGCCCTGTTATTTCCATCACAGAGCTTTTGAAGGGGGTGGTTCGTGGGGAGTGGGGGCCTCTGCTTCTTGTGCACTTAGGGGCCCAGGTGGCTGCCCCCTTGTTGCTCTGCCGCCTTCTTGAAGCCTTCATCTGTGTAAGTGACAGTGGGGAGGGGAGTTGGGCATGTTCGTCCCAGCTGGAGGAACGACAGGGGAGACCCAGGGTGTGCCAGCAAGGCAGCGCCCCACACGCCACCTCGGTGCCCGTGCCATCTCGGGGGCGAAGCTGGGCGTCTGTCCCTGGCTGCAGGCAAGGCAGTGGGGCCTCTGAGCGGTAGGCACGTGTCCAGGAAGGGAAGAAGGGTGCTCTGGCGGGTGACTGGCGCCCTGCAGTACACCCCCCGGCGTGCCTTCCGGAGGGTGTGCCTTCATTTGGTCCGCACAGGGGACAGCCTATTCCTGCGGGTACACTTTCTGGAGCCTGGTGGCCGAGTCAGGGTTGGAACAGTCACAGTTGTCTGTGGGCCAGACCCCCTCCCCCAGTTTGGTGGTAGAGCGCCCTCAGAAACCTGGTCGTCTCCCGGCGTGATTGTTCTGGTCACTGCCGTGCGCTGGGAACTGTGCTCCGGTTCTCCTGTGGGTGTGGTCCTGAAGCTTCCTTTTCGGCTTCCTCTTTGGGTCCTCCCTCTCCCCCGTCTCTGTGGTGCCTCGAAGACGTCCGAGCCCCAGCATCCCAAGGGAAGCCGGCACCTTTGATCTGATGTTGTCGGCCTGGCTGTTCGCCTCCTTTCACTTGGCTGAGAGCTCTTAGTAGGAGGCTTCTTCCAGCTGCTTGGGGACACAGAAGTAAGGGGTCGTCTGTAGTCTACGCCTGTCCGAGAGCGTGAGGTCTGTGTGGCCTGCTGACTGCGGCCAGTGGGCAGTGTGGTTTTGAGACGTGGAGGCAGCTGGTGTACAGAGCAGGCGTTCGGTTCATGCGTATCATTGACTCGTACGTCCCTTCTGTTGGCGTGGTCCTGGATGAGTCACCGCACTGCATGCAGTTCTCACAGGGTTGGGGAGCGCTGGGTGCGTTAGTGACGTCACCTGCTGCCGTGCCTGGTTGTCGAAGCCCTGGGTCTGCCCCGCTGCCCGCTCCTGCCCCAGCACGCGTGGCGTGGTGTATCCCCACGTGAAGTGCTTATCGAGTGCAGTAGTGATGCGCACAAATGACGAGTGCACAATTCAACCCCTGTTCACTTCTCTTCCTTTTTTCATTTTAGAAAGAAAGAACACTCTGCCACCAAGAAAGACCGTGTGACTCATTGTCTGACAATATGTGAAAGCATAGTGGCCCAGTCTCTCAGGTAATTACGCTTCGTACTTCTAGTGAAAATAAAAACTTTACTGATATTCATTCTTAGTGGGCTAGAATGTTCTCTGTCTCCTCAGTTGTCTTAAGCCTTTAAAAGAGCCCTGCTCCCCGCCTCCCACCGGCGGCTCAGTTGGTGGGAGTGCTGTCCCATGCACCGGTAGGCTGTGGGTTCGGTCCTCGGTGGGGGCGCATAGGAGACAGCTGACCAGTGTCTCTCTCTCCCATGATGTTCCTCTCTCTCCCCGCCCCCACTTCCATGCTCTCTAAAAATCAGTACGCATGTCCTTGGGTGAGGGTACAGACAAGGCAAAGGGGCCCTCTGCTGCCCTGGCTGCCTGGGTCAGGCCGTCCGGACCGTGCGATGAGCGCTGTTTCCTCTGCCACCTGCACGGCAGCAGCTGCCCACCAGGGTGGTGTGGGGCTGCGAGATGGTATTCAGCTGCACCCTTGGAGGCTGTAATCATTTAAAAACCATCTTTTTTCTTTTCATTTTACATCAGGTTAGTAACTGGAACAACACGAGCCTTGTTCTGATCCATCAGTCTGATGATTCGCTTTCTTTGGCCGGGGATTGGCTCTGCCGGAGAGCGGGACTCCCAGCGGCGCGGGCTGCTCGCCTGAGCGCCGGCGTGGGCGGGGTTGCAGGCCGTGGGCGGTGGGTCTGCTTCCCGTGCTCGGTGTAGCTTCCAGTGCAGGACCCCCTTCCGTTGCAGCTTCTTCGCTGCTTTTCCTCGCGTTCTTTACTTTTGCTGGTCTGTCCTTTTGGTTGCTGTCCCTCGTAGTGGTGGGCGGGGAATGCTGAGTGGGAACAGCTGCACCTGTGGTTGCTGAATGCTGTTACCCAGGTGGGCGTGTTTGAAATAGTTACCTCCTGCTTTTCTTTCTCATGGAATAAATAATTCATGTCATTCTCCAGCTGTTAGAAAATGCTCGGAGAATAGTAATCTCGATTTTAGTACTAACAGAAACTTGGTGATTCACTTACTTTTAATGGCACTTTACATTTTTATTTTACACTATTAAAGGGATTTCGCACACAACACTCCATCTCAGTCCACCTGGCCCCTTGGTGTGCGACACGGTGCACGATTTCTCTTTCTGTCTGTAGAAATCCTGGGGGCAGAAAGCGCACCAACAAATGAAAGCAAGTCCTGAAAGCAAACGTGGGAAAGTGCTGAGCTACCGTGCCGTCGCGGGGAGAGATCGCAGGGTGAAGTGGGGCAAGGGGAGAAGAGGTGGCTTTGATGAGTTGAACGTTCTGGAGCCTCTCCCGCCTCACGTACCTGATGCGGGTGCCGTTCTAGGGCTCTGGCGGGCCTAGCGACGCATGGGAAACACTGTCCAGGACGTGCGCCTCACCCTCCGGTTGTGAAGTACCTCCTCCTGTACCTTTTTGTCATTGCAAGTGACTTGACCTTCAGTCCCTGACAGCTTCAGACGCCCTGCTGCCGCGGCCCAGCTCTGCGTGCCCGACTCCGCCCCCCAGGGCTCGGCAGCCGGTCTGCCTCTGAAAGCCGTGCTTCCGGCTCCCAGGCCTCCTCTGGCCTGAGGGCGGCGCGCTTCCTGCCGCCATCTGTGGGCCGCTCTGGGGGGGCCGGTGGGGCGTGGGCTGAGGTCCGCACGTCAGTGAAGTGTGTGCGGACATCGTCGGGCTGGGTGTGGCTCCTGTGCCGTGTTAGACACAGTCACGCCCACCCATGGTGTTTACGTCAGGGCGTCTACTGTGCGGCCGGCGCCAGCAGTTATTGCACTGTTGTTCTGCAGAGGAGCTGCCTCAGAGAATGTCGTCTGGGGTTTGCACCCAGAGAGATGCTTTAGTCTGGTCAGATCAAAGCACAAGTGTATTTTAAGGTACGTTCCATACTTTTCAGGAATTTGGGAGTGCCGAGCTACAGCGGTGTTTTGCACATGTATAATGTTCTGTGGAATCTTCGCGATGGCTGGTGTTTCCTGTGCTCTTTCCTTGAGTATGAGTGTCTTTGCTGCTTTCCTGTAACTTCTGTGATGCACTGACCTCCTCCGCAGCGGGGTCACCGCAGGGGCAGTCTGGGGGTGCAGTGGGAGAGGCCTCCGAGGCTGCAGGCACAGTACGACGAAGTAGCCACCCCGCTCTCGGTTCGGTGGCCTAAACTGCTGGTTCCTCAATGTGTGTGAGCATCAGAATCCTCTGGGAGCTTTATCGAAACGCAGTAACTGAGATACCTGGCTGTCCTCTTTCCCCGCACACCTGTACTTTTTGTATGTGCGAAGTGCAGGCACTTCTAAAAAGTCCTCTTAAGCACCCTGCAAACCCACATCTGAGCAAGTGCACCTTGATAAGGTGGTTGAGTAAAAGTAAGTGCACAGAAAACCATGGCTTCCCCACGTGTTAGCAGAAATCGGTTAGAAAGCAAAGTGGTGTAAGGTCCTATTCACGGTAGCAACAACATGCAACATTTCAAGGAATCGGTAGGAAATATACGAGGATTATGTAAAGACTGCTACTGACTGTTTTGAAAGGCATACGTGGCTACTTTTCTTAGGTGGTAAGATTTTTTTTTTTTATCAAAAGTTGAATTTTCTCTAAATTACCAGTAATCCTTACATTTAAAGTGATTTTGATCAAGATTGAAGAAGGGGCACTTTGAACTTGTTCACCTGCAGGGACAACCGCATGTGCGCTGCGCAGACTGTGAGCCGTGAGTGACGTGGGGGGGGTGTGAAGGACAGGAAGGGCGGCGGGGAGGCGGGCGGCTGTGCGCCCACGTGTGCGCACTGACATGGCGGGGGCGTCCCGGGCCAGCACCTGAGTGACTGGGGAGCCTGAAGTCTCTGCCCTGTTGTGCCCACAGTCCTGAGGGTCAGACCGAGCTCCTGCCTGGAGAACAGCGGGAAGTCGCTGCACAGAGCCTGTGCCCTTAGGCTGAGGAAGGTCAGCGGACACAGAAACAGCAGCTCGGACTGGGATCTGGCTCAGCGTGTCCCAGTCCACAGGGGTCGGCCTCAGTGGGGCACTGACGGTGGAGACGAGATGGGGCCGCAGCCCCTGTGAGCAGCAGTCACGGGTCCCCACAGGAGGAGAGCCGGGATGGGGCCAGCGCACACCAGGACTGACACCCGTGTGGCGCTTCTCTGGGGGATGTTCAGGTTCACCGGCGATGACGGAATGAGACCGAGTTGAGAGACAGCCCCTTGTGGTAGAGCAATGGGGACGTGTTCTGAGAGAGGCGTCTTCAGGCGTCTGGGTCACCGTGTGTGCGTCACAGAGCGACTCACGCAACCCTGGCGGTGCAGACCTCTGCTCCTGGGCCGCTGTGACACAGAAGTGTGTGCGAGTCCATGTGTCTGAGCATAGGGGACACACGGCAGTGTTGACAGGCGTGGCGCAGTGCGTGAACGGTGCCGGGCGCAGGGCCCTTCGAGTGAGTGGGGCCCCAGGGCTGGTGCGGCTCTGGGGTCAGGAGCTGGGGGAGCGAGGGTGCCAGCCGGGACCCAGCACTCGCCGCTGTGGGCTCCGCACACTGAGTGCACTTAGGCCACACTGGGTCTAGCAACTGCTTCTGTTTGTGCACCGTGCTCTTTGGGCCATAGGGGGCACCTAGGTTCTAGAGAGGAAAATAGGGGGAAATTGTGGTAAAATATTTAATAACCTAAATAACATAATATTTCACCCACGTAAATGTAAACAGTAGTATTAACAGCCATTATTCCTCCCCAAATTAGGGGGGGGTGCTTCTTATAGTCCGAAAATACGGGCAATAATAAGTTAACTTACTACAGCTTTTGAACTTTATAAACTTTGAAACTTTTCTGTCCTTTTCACTCTTCTGTAATAACACTCATTTTAAAGCACACGTCGTAGGACTTCCGCCAAGATGGAGGCGTAGGTGGAAGCACCGCGCCTTCTCTCACAACCAAGTCTAAAAACAGCAAAGTTTTAACAACAAAAAACGCAGCCAAACCACAGAAAATTGAACAATACGGGAGTCCAACAACGACGAACCTTTCAACCAGACCAGTAAGAGGGGCGGAGCCAGCAGTGGAGTGGGTCGGGCAAAAAAGATCCACCGACCCAGGTGCACAGGCAGCCAAGGGCAGATCCCAGGTGTGGGGCAGCGACGGGCGGACCCAGTGAAGGCACAAGTGGCAGGCTGACCATGGTCACCGACTGAGGGCACACATTTGCGCGCAGATAAACCAGTGAAGGAGTGAGCAGTGAGACAGACCGCGTAGGCCCCAGTGGCGGGAAGGAGCAGAGGGCACCGCTATTGCTCCCTCTCTGACCCCGCCCCCACATATAGCGTCACAAACCAGCGACCTGGGTGGCCCCGCCCTGGTGAACAACTAAGGCTCCTCTCATGCATAAGAGGCGCGAACAGATCAAAGCATGGCTCGAGAAGAGCTCAGAGCCCGAGAGCCCCAGAGCCGATAAATCTAAGCGAACAAGAAATTGCCAACCTATCAGAGGCACAGTTCAAAACACTGGTGATCAGGATGCTCACAGAACTGGTTGATTTTAGCCACAAATTAGAGGAACATACGAAGGCTAAACTAATGGAAATGCACAGGAAAGCAATAGTAATGGAAAGGAAACTGGGACTCGATCAAGGGAGCGGACCAGAAGGAAGAAAAAAATGACCAAGCAGAAAAATATGAAGAAACAAGAATTCAAAAAAAATGAGGAGAGGCTTAGGAACCTCCAGGACATCTTTAAACTCCCCAACATCTGAATTATAGGGGTACCAGAAGGGGTAGAGAAAGAGCAACTGGAAATCTTATTTGAACAAATAATTAAGGAGAACTTCCCCAATCTGGCAAAGGAAATCGACTTCCAGGAAATCCAGGAAGCACAGAGTCCCAAAGAAGTGGGACCCAAGAAGGAACACACCAAGGCGCATCATCATTACAAGAGCCAAGATTAAAATGAAGGAGAGAATCCTAGAAGCAGCAAGAGATAAGGGGACAGTCACCTACAAAGGAGTTCCCATCAGACTGTCAGCAGATTTCTCAAAA